GGTGGGATGGATTTCCTCTTTCTGTAGACCCCCAGACTTTCTCATTGTGTTCAGGATGAAATCAAGATCTGTTGAAGATCAAGAAGGTGTTTCCCAGTAAGGGAAAGATTGAAGAGAATTTATTTGCATTATCAGTATTTGCCATGATGCCAGACTTTAGTTTAAGAAAAATAACTATTAAGAAATCAACAGAATCCTATCATATGTTCAATACCTTTCTCATTATGTTCAGTGTGAAATCAAGACCTCTTAAAAATCAAAAAAGTCCATTAAACAGTGTGTTAGAGGTTAGAGTGCTTGTTTGTGATTGTGGTAACATTCCTTTAAGTTTCTTCTGTCTGTGATACAGTATAGGAACTTGAATCATCATTATATATCTAGATGAGTGCTCTAATGTCTCTATGCTGCTTTTTGTTCTGGAGAATATATCTCAAAATCTCATAATGGATAAATTTCACTTGAAATTAATTGGAGCAGACAGCCAAAAAGAGAACTGTAGCAGTACTTGGCGTGTACGACACTCACCTGGTTAAAAGATATGTAGACTCAGCACCTCATTCAATTACTTATAGAAAGTAGAAATATTCTGTATTTTGAAGAAATGTAAGTATCTGTATTGGTGTTAAAATACAGAAAAAGAGATTCAGCAGTTCTTGCTTTACCAAAATTGGAGCATAAGCCTTTCATCCAATAACAACAAAGAAGGCCTAAATTGGGAGAGCCCTTCTATGGAATAAGACATGATATGAACTTTCTGAGAGTAAGATGCAATATCCACTCTTTTTTATGTGAATATCCTTAAAGAACAGCCACCATGTAAGATGATGACTGCACACTGTATAACTTACAAAGTAGTCAGTCCTTCATGTGCAAATCTGTTCAGTTTGTAATTTTGTGTTTGATAGTTCAATAAATAGGGCATCTGAAATAAAAAAATGTAATTGCAGAGTAAATTTTCAGCCATGTAAAAAATGTAATTGATGCAGTAGTACGTTTTGTGATGGCAACGGAGGAGTGCTTTGACCTTAAGTATATTACTTGAGAGCAGGGTTGTACTCTTTCATGTATATGACATTTGAGGGCTTATTAGAATCGAGAAGTGCATGACTAAGGTTCTTTGAAAAAGAGAAAAAACCTTTGAGTAATAGAATGTGAGTATGGAGTAGCTGTAAATTAATTTTTTGCCCACTCCATTTATTTAAGCATTAGTTAAGTTTCATCATTTCTAATTAATAGACAATGCAGTGTTTAAATAGGGTAGTAATTGTGTTTTAAAAACACAATAGAAGAGTGTCTTTAATTGGAAAATCAAATTTTGCTACCAAAATAAAGATCCCATAGTTTGGAGTACTTTCAGGTTAATATTTCATGGAGCAGTCCACAGTGAATACTGCAGATCAATACAATGAAGGGTTAATTGTGAAAACGGATATAACTTTTATTTTCTTATAAATCAAGAGGTTGGTAAAATGTACGCTTACTGTTGATCATTAGAATACAAAACTATCTGTTAAAATCAATTAACATGCATATCTGATGACTGATTGTATAAATATGAAAGTCAAATAATTGTAATCGTTAACCATGGCTTCAGGTCATATGAGTTGTCAGCTCAAAAAAACTAGACGAATAAGAGGTTGATTTGCATATATTTAATGTGGCATGCTGTTCATATGGGAATTTGAGATAAACCTTTGCTAGTAATCTGCTTGTTTTTATCTAAAAATCAACTAGGAAACATGGGTCATAATAGTCAAGTGGGCTGTGTGTTGTATTGATAGCAGTTGATTCAGTAGTTTGAGATTTAACATTTTACTCTAAGTTTTAATATTTTAAAATTTATTTTTTACTAAGAGACAATTGGAAGAAGCTGGTTTAAAAGTTATTCAAGAAATACCCAAAGTTCTTACCAGGAACATAGCAAAATTATCCTATAACTGGTTTTAAGACTTAGCTACATTTACAGGTTTTAGTTAGAATTAACAATATGTATAACAAGCACTTTTTTGCTTTTTATAAAAAAAATTAAAAATATATTAAACTTTTTAATAAAGTAATGTACTGAGTCACAAAAATATCTATGTGAGGTGACTTTAATTTAATTGATCAATTGTAATAAAGAGAAGGAGGGAGGTGTGACAGAGGAATGAGGCTTCTGTCCTGGAAAGGATTTACATATTATTTAAGTTCCTGAATATAATAATCCATTAATAATAATTATGGATAAAATATGGATTAAAATTATAAATAATAAAACAATGGATATATGGATAAAAATTATGGATATAAATGGATAATAATCCATGCTAGTTTGGGGGTTTTTTTTCATTGATAATGCAAAATATTCTATGTAACTCATAACAGTTCAAAAAATCCTTGAAATGTGTCAGAATATAGTGGACAGCACCATACATTGCCTATAATTTGGTTAAGCATGTCTGTCCAGTCCAGCCTTTCTCTTTTCCCCTGTGTTTTAAAAAAAAAAAAAAAAAAAAAAAAAAAAAATCCTGTCCTAAATTTTGAAATTGTATCATAATCTCTAAAATTTCTCTGGTTCCTGTGTTCATGAGTTTCCAAAGGGGAGAAGCAGCAGTATGTGGTTTCTTTTGATCTGATTTGTACCTGCAAACTAAGAAAACTTCTGATGGTGGCAGTATCAAAAGGTAGAGAATAGATGATCTTGCTCAGTACTTTTTATTGTGAGCTTTATTTATAATTTTGTCATTGTAAATATTTGAATTTTTTTCTTGAGTATGTGGTACAATCCAGTTCCATGCATTATCACCCAAATTAACTTGAGTACCAGCAAGGTGGCCTTCTTATTGTGGCACTCAGACTAGGCAGAGTACAGAACAATTTCTGGTATTCTTGCTCTGTGAAGTACACTTGAAGGACACTGCCTTTTGCTTTAGCCTTCTGTTGACCAATCTTTTGCATGATTTGTTGACTAAAGGCACCTATACTACATTTGAGGTTTGGAGTGTGAAAGGACCAGCTGATAAATTAGAGGAATAGAGTCACATTCAGTTTCTGCCCCCTTTACAGCTTGTGTTGGATGCAATTTGTGTTTGATTGCAAGAGACAGAAAGGTGGCTGTATCTCAGGTCACTGGCTGTTTTGTGTCCTTTCATTAAATGATTTACATGTCTATTTGAGCATGGAATTATGACCCTCTTAACTTAGAAATAGTTGTGTGAGAAGGTCAGTTCTGTAACTATAGATGAGAAGCCCAAGTTAAACAGGGAAGTAATTAAAAACTAAGTAAATTTTAAAAGGAAGAAAAATGTGGTTTTAAGACATTGTTGACTGTAATTACAGTTTTAGCTGTACTCATTGGTGAAAAATCACTTTGCTACTAGAGGCTGCCAAGCTGCAGGTGAATGAAGATGCACTATGACTAAGTGGTACTTCCTAGAGAAGGTCTGTTTCCAGAACCTCAGGATCATTCCTGAGCCATTGTATGTCCCAGTAATCCTCAACATCTTCTAAAGTGTGATGGTATATACTGCTTTTAAAAGTATCCATTACTTTTAAAAAGGGGATTTGGGATATGTATGATTTGTTTTGGGGGTGGATGAGGTTTGCAGATGTTGTGTGGGAATTAATTGTTGTTCTCGGACAGAAATCTGGGCACTGAAAGAGAATACCTTAGCGAAAAATCCATTCTCATATGTCCCATTTCAGAAACATGCATTGTGAGAAGAAAGTGCTTCAGAGTCCTTAAAATATAGAAGTTTTTTGTACTCTTGTGTTTTGGGGCTTGCAGTGTTATTAGTTCAAAGGGGGGAGGTATGCTTTTTCATGATGACTATATTTAGCCAGGAGGAATAGTCCTTTTTAAAGCAAACTGAAATGAGTGTATAAGAGCGTGAAATTATCAGCAGTGCTAGTGCACATTTACATTACTTCTACATACTCTTTTGAATGACCACACAACAGAACAAGTACTTCGTTTCCACTGTGTTGATTTTTCTTGACAAAACATGGCAGTCCATCCAAAGGAGGGTGTTTAGCCAAGATAAATATAAAATTTATGATTAAGCAAAGTGTTTCCTTATTATAATCCCTAAAGAGAATTTGAGACTTGTTAAATATAATGTGCCCAGGTAGTTTTAAGAGTAAATCACACTTTATGCTTTTAAATACTGAAATACAGCAACACCACCAACCATTTGAGATCTTACCTGTGGAAACAACACTGCATACTGATTTCCTTTGAACCAAGTAGCAAAAACACATGCATATATACAATATATAACCGCAAATTTGATGTATTCATTCAGTTTTACAGTCCTGTACAGAGATCAAGAATCTGTTTCAGTAGCATAGTTTATAAAACCATGTCTCATTCTTTCCTGTAATGTGTGTTATGGAAGAAAGCAAATAAACTGTTTTGACAGAATGGATAAAAATTGATAACATGATTACATTTCTGGCACATTTCTTTATATAGCTGCTATATTTACAGAATACCACTTTGAAGAAAACTATGGTGATTGTCAATGTTATTTATTAAAATAAATGGAGAATGAAAATTGATTCAGGAGATGAGTGGATTTTGACCTTTGTGGTACCAATGTTGGCTTTGGAATGCAATGTTCTAATTAAATTGTGAATGTACTTAGATAGTGGATATTAAATGATCTCACTGTATTCTTTCAAGGACTATGAACTTCCAAAATCAAGGATAACATTAGATGTCAGCCAAGTATTTTGTCCTTCTCGTGGTTTGTCTTTACATCTGAATTAGTGCCAGTTTGCACAGATTGTGTGTCAGCTTAAATACAAGAAACAGGCCTCAGTCTGCTTGAACTCATTCCACCAAAGACTTCTAAAAACTTTTGGTAGTCTGCAGACTGTAATGGTTGTTTCACATTAAGTTGCTTTGTAGAATTACAAAACAGCTTTTCTTGTGCTTTCAAATAAAATGTTGTCATCCGCTAATGAATGAGATACCATCTGTAATAATTAAGGTTATTCTACTTGTTTTCCCCCTGCAGCAAAAGTTCTGAAGGTTTGCAGAAGACAGTAAGAGAACCACCAGGAAGACTATTGCAGTATTGTAAGTACTGCACCCAGAAAAAAAAAATAGTAGTGAATTAAGAATGATGTAAAGAGATTTTCATTTTCGGGGGGGAAAAATGAGCTACATAAAGGGATTACATGTAAAATACAGAGCAGGATGTATTGTAGCAATCATGTTAATAATTTACAAGGGAAAAACTGCACTCTTGTAAAATCTGAAATTGTATCCTTGTGCAGCGTAATCAGGAATTTACCAATAGCAGTGAAAAATATTTCTCTATTCACCAAAGATTGATCTAGTTTATATACATTTGTTTATTTAAAACTATCAGAATTTAGAAAATCATTGTAGTTTTGTAGGTTTGTCATTTGTTTTAGTGACTTATTGTTTAGGTTATTTTGCAGAATTATTTATTTGCTGATTTATTTATGTATTTCATTATTTATTTATTTGATTATTTAGTAAATTATTTATCTGATGAATTATTAATACATCTTCATGACATGCTTTAAATTATTTATAACTTAATTTTGAGTTTATTGCTTTTCGACGCTGCATTGTTACTGACTAGTTTTGATTTTTTTTTCTTGGTTCTTGAAAATTAAAGTACTAGCTCTAAGGCAAAAGTATATTCTTTGCAGAATCCATAGATGGTTTTCAGTGAAGTAATTTACCATGTAGATACTAATTTTGTTTAGCTTTATATTGCTTAATATCACTTTTCTACTTATTTAGCATTTGCTTCTGTTTTTTCATCGATGTGTCAAGATGAAATGAGTGACCTTTAAGGAGCAAAGATAAATGTTTACTTTAAAACATGTAGAAACAGAGTAGTTCTATTTCCCCCTTAATAAGTATCCTTCAATTATTCTTAAAGTTAACTTGAGATGTTTTTTGTCCCAATAAAATGGATGTTTTTTAAATAAAACTCTTGATATTTGAACTAATACATTTAACTTTTAATAAGAAAATAATATATTCACATTAATAACTCATATGGAGAGTTCCTTTTTAGCGGCAAGGTTTTAAGTATATGGGGAGGAATGGTTGTATCTCTAGACATATGCAGAAGAGGAAGATACATATGGAGAGGGAAGTTGGATAGTAGGTGGGTTTTTTCCCCCATTTTTTTTTGCATACATAGGAATTTATAAGCTCAAAAAATTTAACGTGTCTGTGTTGTGTGTAAACTACTCTGTGATCACAAAGAATCATTCCTAGTGCACAACATACTGTTGTGAAGCCTGTTTTTGTGTTGCTTTCTTTTGCCAGTTAAAAAGGCCTGAAATCTCATCTTTTACTCCAGAGAGACTTGAGTGAATGTACAAAAGCAGCATAAGGCGCCAATTTTAGGCTTCAATTTTGGGCTTCATGTACGAGCACCAGCTCTACGGTGTGTCCAGGATCAGAACTGACTCAGAGTTAATTCTGACTGATGTTTTTTTCAGGACAAATGAGCCTCTTACCTGAAGTTGCCTATTTCACCTCAGGTCCCAATGAGTAACTCGTTGGGCAGTCGGAAGCCACCTTGCAGGGGAGCACTGTGACTGACAGCCCTGTTTCAGAGCTGTAATGAATAGGGCAAAGCAGCAGTTCCTCTGCAAAAGTGCCGTGTGCACAACGTGGCCTTTATTCTAGGTTTAGTGCTTGAAATGAATTACTATATACTTTAAAGTTTTAACACAGCATGGAAAGGCTGCATTGTACATTTCAAGTTTCAGTGCTGTTGAAATACAGTAGAAATGGCCTCTGTAGACAGGTTTCACTATAGAACTTAAATTATGCATGTGTATATCCAAATTCCTTATTTTGAAATATTGAATGTATGAATATTTAATTTGTATCTTGCTTTAGTATCTTCATATGCTTGCCTTAAAGGAAGCTGTTTCCTTTGATTTATATACACGGATAAAAATGTGTGTACAGTATGTATCAATGGTTTTTCTCTCTACGGTGTTAGATGAACAGCTTCAGATAATGATAGCTACTGATTTTTATTCTTCAGCTTGCTACTATTGTATAAAACGTAAATTTGTCTTATTTGTTCTATTAATCTTACTTGAATTTCAAATACATTTGCTTTTCAGAAATATTTTCTTAATTACATACATTAAGAAAAGTCAATTATGTTGCAGATCTCAACCATGCAGTACTTTTGGTCTGTGCAGAGTAACAAAGCTCTGAATATTATTATTTGGGGCAGAGTTCCAATCTGAAATTTACATTTCTCCTTATTTAAATGTTTTCACTGAAGCTGAGAACTCCAAGGGAGTTCCTCAACATATACTAGTTTATGTGACATGCTCTATGGAATTTAGTAGTCACTCTTATTTCATTGGGTAAATGAGGTCTTATTGTTGAATAAGACCTATTATAAGCAGTTACAAAGGTAAGTGCTGTCAGTGCATTCTGCCACCAGTTTCTCGAGTATGAAACACTTCCTGAAAGATGTGCTACTACTGTTATAGGGTAATATAACGCAGCTTATGTGTTGGCACCGAAAGTAGCTACTTCATAATGATGACAAGTGAAAGTACAGCCAAAGGTCATATTAAACAAGAGATTTCTTTCACACCTCATCCATTTTCTGGATGTGGTATGAAAATAGCTTTGTTCCCTACACTTCAGTATTTTTAAAAAGAAGTTATCTTGAAAGATTTTTTTATGCCTTGTATATTATTTTGTTTACGTTTTAAGAGCTGGACTGTGGAATTCTAGCATGCTAACTTTGGTGCTACAAAAGTGTTTGAAATTAGCTTAAATTTTGGGTGCAATTAGACAACATAAGTAGTATTTCATCTCACTATACTTTTTTGGTTTGCGAATTTGCTTAAAGGCATAACTTTAAGTTCTAGAAAAAGAACTATTAATGTGCAAAGTGGTATTTATATTGATGTTGCATGGCTATGGTTTTATGCTCTTTTTGAATCTTTTAAGAAGAAAGATATGGATTTTATTTTTTTTCTGAAAATTGCAGCCTGTTGTTTAGAAATAGAAAAAAGAGAACCTATCCATGTTGACAGACTGTTTCTTAGCTCTGTTTTAAAGAGATCTTGCCAGTAGTGTGAAAGGACGCTGTATGCGTCCCCCATCTTACACTGAAACGGTCAACCAACGGGATGCTAAAATAAGGTGTCATTTTAAAAACTTGAATAGTCTCGTATAAGATAATGAAAATGAAGCTGGCTTGTTTCACAGAGGGTGCTGAACAGTTAGGAGATGCTGGTTAGGAAGCCTAAATCTGGTGTATTATTGGTAGGTGTATTTCTGTTCTAATCTAACTCCATAGAAATCGCAGAAGCCATATTAAGCTCTTCTTCAATTTATTCCATGCAGATAAAAGAATTTACATCTCATGAGTCATATATTTCCTGTTGTATCTTTAATACAGCCATTTTTAGTATTTTTCTTGCCTCTCTCCTCTATTGGTATGCTTAGAGAGTCTGTGTGCAGGAGCTTGTTATTTCACCCGTGAGGCAAGGAGGAGTTCAAATCAATAGCAGTGTGTTGTTGACACTAAATGATGTTTCTTCTTGCCACAATAAGACTTGATTTTGTCATCCTAATGACGCTAGCTTGCCTCACAGAATAGGGATCAGCACTCTCTCAAATCAAACTTTACAAGTATTAAAAAAGTCCTTTGAAGGAAGTACTAGAGAAATACTCCAGTATTTGTAACCAAACACATACATTGGCTTTGTAAAATAAGTGTTTAAGTTCTGTTTCACTTTGTAGGGAAACTGCTTTGCAATGCCTTTTGGAAGTCTGTGTTAAAGGAAGTAAGATTGCTCAGAGCTGACAGTGATGAAAGCATGATGTTTTAAAAAGAAATTATGAAAAACATTATTTAACATATAAGTTCATGTAAAATATGGATCATATTAAGACCTCAGCTAAAAAAACAAAAACAAAAACAAACAACAAACAAAAAAATCTCAAGCTAGTAGAAATTCTGTATGTTTCGCAGAAAAATCTTTGGAACGCTGCCTAGAAAGAGGATGTTTGCAAGGGGAAAAAGGTACAGCCACACTAGGTCTTGGATTGCACTCTATAGCATGGTCAAAAAGTAGTAAGCAGTTGTTCCTGACTTGAACGAAGGATCCCACTGGGAGACAGGAGCTGAACAAAGATGTGAATTTGAGAAGAAATAGTGTAATCATGGAAACCAATAGTATGATGATAGGAACTTATGGGCATAATGTTGGTAGCAACAGTGGGTTATTGAGAAGCACGAGATTTTTTGTGTTGGACACCTGAGTGTGTAGTGTCCAACATCAATAGCAGAGTTGAATCAGCCTATTATATTATTATGTCCTGGTTTGAGTGAGTGCAGGGTTTTTTTGGTAGCAGGGGATGGGGCTACAGTGGTGGCCACCTGTGAGAAGCTTCTCAGAGCTCCTCTGGCTCCAAGTCAGACCCACCTTTGCACCAAGGCTGGGCCAGTTAGCTGCACTCTGTGATAATGTATTTAAGAAGGAGAACCTGGGAGGAGTTGTGGGAGTTGTGAGGAGGAGTGGTGAGGAGGACATCTGTGTAAACACTGAGGCCAGTGGAAGGAAGGAGGAGAAGGGAGCTGTGCCAGAGCAGGGACTCCCCTTTCCCACCTTGCTGGTATGGCAGAGCCACTCCCTGCCATCCATGGGGGTCCACAGTGGAGTAGGTACTGATTTGGAGCCTGTGAGGGGCCCCACACCGAGTTAGGTGCCTGCGCCTGGAGAAGGCTTGGGACCCCATGGGAAGAAGCCCCCACTGCTGTAGTTTGGTCTTGGGAGGACTGCAACATGCAGGGGTGACCCACACACCCATGAGAGTGGCTTATGTCAGAGCTGATTTGTGGAGGACTGTCTCCTGTGAGAGAGGGACCATGCTGGAACAGGGGAGGAATGCCAGAAGTTCACCAAGGTGGAAGAAGTGGCAGGACTGACTGCACCTCCCATTCCTTGCTCCCTGTGCCACTGGCTGGAGGCGGTAGAGATACTGGGGCAGAGATGACTCCGGGAAGAAGGGAAGGATGGGTGAAGATGTTTTCAAGAAGT